AAGAAGGGCACAACCTTTTATTCATTTTGTGAATCCCATTACCATCATCCAAGCTTTTATTAAAGATAAAACTACTGGAAAATGCTCTATATGGGGCTAATTGGAAACCAGGAAAATAATCGAAGTAAAGTATACTTACATCTACAGTTGTTAATAGAGACTTGAAGATGTGCAATGGAATTCATTTAAGGTTTATTTGAGCATGACTAAATGGAAAGAAACATAATTTCATTTATATGCATATATAGCTCATTTCTGAAATTAACAGGGATCTGTCACTATAATACCATATTATATAACATGTCATAAATGCTGATCTATTTTCTCCCTTAGTTAGCCAAATATGTTTTACTTCATACTCCTCAGTTTTGTAATAATGGTGACTTTTTTTAGGGATAAAGGTGGGAAAAGGCAGAGGGGAGATTATAACACTACTTGATTTTCCAAACTTATGAAAAACAGTGAAACTGGGAGGAAACTCCCTCATACTGTTTTAGTGCTCATAGTTTCATACTGTGGATTTACCTGTATGAAAAAATTAGCTGAAGATAACATAAACTGATTTTTGACTTCTGAAAAATGTTTATACTCTAAGACTCAAATTCAAAGGTGACGTCTAAGATATCCAAAGTATGGCATGGTAGTAAAATGAAAGAAGTTCTCAAAAAGTGGGAATTTTTTTCTTTTCCTTCTGGAACTTCTGGTTACTTCTGGAGTAAAGGGATACCAAGGAAGCTATTTTCAAAAGAGTAATAGTTGTATTACTGTTACTGCAGAAAGTGTCCTTCTGGCAGCCACACCATTATCTCAGCAGGGCTTTGTGCTAGAAAAATGTCATTAGCTACAGCACCAGGCTCCACAAGAGTTAGACATGTCATGTTTTAAAGAACAAGACCACAATACTTGTGATATTCACACTGCACAGAGGAAATGGCAGTGTCTGATCTTGATGATATTTTAAACATTGGAAATGCCAGAGGTCATGGTGAGCTGTAATTCTCAGAATAAGTAGTGACCCTTTGGTGTTGAATTTTCACTGAAAGAGAGAAGCAGCACATAAAGAATCTAAAAAAATGTCATGAACAAAATAAGCCAAAAATGTTGCCAGTGTGAGATTAAAAACACCTGAGGAAAATGACTAGTGCAGTAATAAGATGGCAGTGAACTTAACTTGACTGTTTACTCTTTATCAAGGCTGTGACACTAATGTGACATCTGCATGGCTGGTCTCTTCTTGATGGGCGTTGCTGAAAGCATCTTAGTTTTACTTAGCTGGGTTTGGTATTGGTCTCAACTGCAAAGGCTTTTCTTATTCTTTCCTAATATCCCAAAGGAGGAACTTCCCTAGCTTTTGAATCTACAGTGTTGTGAGTATATTTCACAGAATCATCTAGGTTGGAAAAGGCCTTAAAAATCATCCTGTCCAACCATTAACAGTTCCCAACTACACCAGATCCCTCAGTGCTAAGTCGACCTGACTCTTAAACCCCTCCAGGGATGGGGACTCCACCACCTCCCTGGGCAGCCCATTCCAACACCCAACAACCCCTTCTGTAAAGAAATGCTTCCTAATATCCAGTCTAAACCTTCCCTGGCACAACTTGAGGCCATTCCCTCTTGTCCTATCGCTTACTACTTGGTTAAAGAGACCCATCCCCAGCTCTCTGCACCCTCCTTTCAGGTAGCTGTAGAGGGCGATGAGGTCTCCCCTCAGTCTTCTCCAGACTAAACACCCCCAGTTCCCTCAGCTGCTCCCCTTACGACCTGTGCTCCAGAGCCTTCACCAGCTTCGTTGCCCTTCTCTGGACATGCTCGAGTCATTCAATGTCCTTTTTGTAGTGAGGGGCCCAAAACTGAACACAGGAATCGAGGGGTGGCCTCACCAGTGCTGAGTACAGGGGTCAGATCCCTTCCCTGTCCCTGCTGGCCATGCTATTGCTGACACAAGCCAAGATGCCATTGGCCTTCTTGGCCCCCTGGGCACACTGCTGGCTCCTGTTCAGCTGGCTGTCAATCAACACCCCAGGTCCCTCTCTGACTGGCAGCTCTCCAGCCACTCCTCCCCAAGCCTGTAGCGCTGCTGGGGGTTGTTGTGGCCCAAGGGCAGCCCCCGGCATTTGCCCTCATTGAAACTCCTCCAGTTGGGCTCAGCCCATGGCTCCAGCCTGTCCAGGTCTCTCTGCAGCCTCCCTACCCTCGAGCAGATCAACACTCCCACCCAACTGGGTGTCAGCTGCAAACTGACTGATCAAAAGAGACCAGGTTGTCTCACTTTAGTGAATTAGGCCTTTCCAGAAAACCACAGTTGCTGCAAGCCTAGCTTATTTCAAATGCAGGCTCAGGTGTGTTTATATACTTCCACAGTCATTTAAAATTATCCTTATTTTCTCTTACACAAAATGTGTTGCAATCATTGTACCTTAATTTAAATAAGGCTTATGGGACAGTGAACTATGGAAAGAAAATACTTTCTGTTTCTTAACAAAAATCTGGAAGTGTAACATCTTACTTTCTATTCATGTTAAACATAAAAATTGAGGAAATTTGATCAGTTGTTATGGCTATGTTTTTTAACCACTTATTTGACTTACTAATAATCCACTTTAAGTTCCATGGTCTAGTGCCTCAATAATTTATTTCTTATGGAAGTCCAATTTACAATTAAATCCAATTTAAAAGTTATTGTATTCATTCAGAAAACCACTAAATAAGGAAGTACAGAAAAATATAACAGAACTATATGGACAATAAAAAAATGTCCTTCTCAAAAATAAATGCTTAATCTTTTATAAAAACAAAATAAACTGATACATTTCAAAACCAGATGGGCTTCAGGACACTAATATAGTCAAGACTTACTGAAATGTGGCTTGACTGAAATTTGGATAATTACAGACTTTGTCAACAGTTTTCCACTTGTTTCAGGGACCTGGTCTCTGCTGAATGACTGCAAGGTAAAGAACAAACTCAAACTAAGCTTTCTATAAGGAATGTGTTTGTTAAAAATTGGGAAAATGAAAAGGAAGTATCAGAAGATTTGAAAGCAGAGGAGTGACATAGACAACACTAGCATGCTGGAGGGAAAAATCACTCAATTTTCCCTGGGAAAGAAGTTAATGAGATTAACATACTGTTTTGAACATTTTCAATGCTGTGTTTGAATTCCTACCTAAATTAAGGATCAACTTGATCTCAGTCATTATGCTCTGAAATCTTCCATGCAGGGGCACGTGCTTGGGAGGGATGACTTGTAGAAACAAGATTTAAATTGATGTAAGTCTACATGGAAGGTGGTTTTGATAAACTGTCTTGTCCATCAGACCAGTATTGACCAGCAGGAACTGCAAAACAGTGCCCCACTGGTAAAAACTGTCAGCAGAGACCCCAGATGCAGGTCATTAACAGACAATTTGCTTCTCAAACATCTGGGTAACCCTAATTGTTGTATGATTCAGCATAAAATTTCTTTTCCAATTTCCAAGTACTTTATATATCCTTTGCAAGGTTATGCATTTTCATATCCAAATTCTTTAACTGCTATATTCACAATTACCATCTTTGTTTGCTAAAGACTAGAGCCTGCTGCTTTCAGCACTGTCAGCTCTGGATTTGATTTGGTTTCCAGCAATTACCAGGAAGGTGGTTGCTATAGCTGCAATAATGAAAGGAGCAACCATGTTTCCTTGAAGACAATGTAAGCAACCATAAATAAACAAATGCTTAAATATATTCTAAGTGGTATTAATAACAAACTACTGCAAGAGGGAAAATAAAATTTTAGCCCTTTTCAGTGGCTTGATATTAACCTTGTAACTTCCTACTCAATGCTTAGCTTGAGCTGATACAACTGTTTTGACAAATATATAAAGTACTATTAGTTTTGTAGGATTTTCTTCTTCATCATGATGCCAGTCACATTTTTGTTGCATTTGTTCACGTTACCACATTTTCTCAGTGACAGTCTGTCTCCATAATTTTGCCGATTCCTGTTACAGCAATAACAGGTGATGATGATACATGACCAAAGTCAGGAACATAAGAAAGTTTTAATTTAAAAAAAAAACCTGTTAAGTTGCACTGAACTGTGTCAACTCTGATTCACTGAGTTTAGTTTTAAGTGTGATTCTTTTCTGACAAGTGATTGTAAAAACTGTATCACAGATTGTCATGGTTGTGTTTCGGTGGCTTCATATCAATTTTGTTCAGGATGTTGTTGGATTTTTTTAAACCACTAGACCTACCAATGAACCAGAGATTTGAAGGTCATGCTGTATTCAGTCTCATGCAACACCACCAACAATAGCATTTCTGTGAAATGAAATCTCTCCCTCACCTTCACAGCAAACCACTTCAACGTCTAGGGCAGACTGTGCTGTCAGATTTTCATGAAGTGGGAGTAAATCCATTCTACTGCCAAGCTAAAATGAAATCTCCCAAAAGGAACTTATGTTACATCTATGAAATAGTCTTACAATTATGTATTGTATTAAGATGGCGAAGTTCTGAGGGGCTGATCCTGCTAGTTCATCATGGGACAAGCTTCCATCACTGTAACAGAATATGGGAATTATCCTGCAGAGTGATTACTGTATCAATACTATCTTTATATTACTACATATCTTAAGGTATTACTTACCTGAATTATTCAGTTTCTTTCAATAGATCTTAATCTTTCTGGAAGATGCTGAGCAGTTTCTGTTAATGGCTGCATAATGCTGACTTACTGTCTTGTTACTTAAGACAGAGATATGTTTCTTTTTGGAGATACAGGGCAATGGAAGCATTGGTCCAAGATGAGTTGATGAATAAAATGAATGGAGCATAATTTAAAGCAAAATTCCTCTTTGCTAGCTGTTAAATATGTTTAGTGTTTTAAGAGAAAAAGTAAATACTACATGGTAAAATGGCATTAGTTGGAAACACCGTCATTTCTTTTCTTATCTGAAATGACTTAGCACTCTACAAACTATTTTACTTTTCTTCTCTCCTTTATTTTGCAGTTAACTTTGACCACTTTCAAATATTGCGGGCTATTGGGAAAGGGAGTTTTGGAAAGGTAAGAATCAATTTATTTTTAACAGTTAAAAATCTAATAGAGAATTCCTTTGTGTATTTCTGGTGTCACCTGACTAGGGTAAAGGAACACAGGTTTTGTAGCCTTTGACTTCTTAAAGATATCTGATCATCACTATGAAATGACTGACCATTAAATTATTTCTGTTATAATACATTCACTAAATTTGAGTAAAAATTATAATAATAATTAAGTCTCCTCAGTGGGGATTAGCAGAATTTAAAAATCAGTCCCTAACACAAAAAGAAAGAATGAAGTGGGAGCAGACTACTTTTTTAGACAGTCTACTCTAGTTATTTTTTTCTTAAATCTCTGGACTTATTTGTGTCTTTAAAATAATTGCAGTATTTTAAAGGCATTTTACATAGATTCAATACACTTGGGACTGAATAAACTGGCACACACTGTAATTAAGATCATTGAGTAAATGTTTGTTCAATTCAACAGGCTTTTGATGAAACAGAGAAGATTAATGGTTTGTTTATGCAAGAGTAGACAACCTTTCTTTCCTATAATAAAGACTATAACAAGGTTTTAAATTTTAATATGGGCAAATACAAGACCATGCAGTTAGAGAAAATCATATTATAAAAATATTAGAAACCGTTACTCACAGGAATCCATTTGAAGGTGAAATATAACTTCAGTAACTGATCGGGCAATAGCTATCTAGATCTTGATTTCAGTGAATCTTGAGTATATGCCAGCCGAGTGCTGGTGAGCTACTTCTGTAGTTATGCATGAAGAACACACACAGGATTTTGCTGGCTCTTGGCCTTCCATGTAGAAAAATTACTTTCATTTTACAGAGGCTGAAAATACTTCTTGCAGGATGGCATGATCCTTTATGGCATGGTCCTCATTTAGTTCAGTAGTTTCCAAGATAAATCCTCTTTGAAGCTAATAGAAGAATATGTTACTACTACAAAATGATTCAAGATCAAAAATCGGGGCAGCTGGAGATCTGTGATAGTTTATTATCACAATACAGTGATGGAAAATCATGTCAAACTAAGAAGAGGTCCAGGAGTGCAAGTTAGGTGCAGGATGAGCAGGAAAGATATATCCAAATCATTCTGATTATCACAAAGATCACTTTCACCTCTCTTTTTTCAAAGCTTCCCTATTCACACCTCTACTGTCTCTGCCCTTTCAAAGGCTCCCTCACCCTTCCACATCATGCAAGAAAATAAAACAATCCTAAGTGCTTTTTGAAGGCTTGTTGGTTGATATTTGATCCACTATTCTCCATTGCATTCAGGAAACTGCTGAATGTTTCTATGATATTTCTAGAATCATCTAATTTTCTTACAGGTTCATGTGGCTGCAGTGTTCTTGTGAACCCACTTTGGGTATATGTATGGGTGAGAATAGGGTTACACAACCCTGAGAGAGCATGTTTAATGCAAGAAAGGACTCATGCATAAGTCCCCTCTAAACTTAAATCCTTATTTTGCAGCTGTCAAATGTAACTGAAGAAACCTTGGTGTAACAGGTTTATTTTTCCTGAATGAATGGAAGCTTCTGATGAATCACCTTGTTTTTCCTACAAGAGATGGGAAAGAAAAAAAAAAAACATTTTAAAATGACCTATTATACCATAGCCAAAAGCACAACATGGTAAATCAGACATTGTTTCAAGTGTCTGTCTCTGTGAGTCAGTCTTGCTTTTATCGTTAACTTAGAAGCCTCATTGCTGGCAACTTTTCCTATTACTGTCCTGGAAGTACCTGGCAGCAGAAAATGTCAACAAATGATGCAAGACCTCTAATCTCTGTTGATTTGCTCTTTACTGTTTGGGGTCTCTTGTGGTCTAGCATTCTGCGACATGTAACACCGTGTTCAGTATCATGCCTTCCTTAAACTGCCTTCTTCCTTTACGGCTGCTCTGTGGCCTTTTCTGTTTTCTGAGAGTGATAGGTTGTTTTAAGACATGCTCTACTTTTTTATTTTATTGCTGTTGGTACACTTGTGCGCGCGCTCTCTCCCTCTCTCAATATTTCTTAAATTACTCTGGTTGCTACAGCAACCTTAGGCCTCTGCAGGATATTGCTGCAGGAGGTATCTGATGTGGCAGAGACTCCATGCAGCTCAGTTTGCTCCTGTGCACAGAGCTCAAGGTGATCCTCAGCACCTCACCTCCTCCACTGGGGCTGGCTGCTTCAGCAGCTTCTCTCTGTCCCTCCCAGCTGGCTTCAGAAAGCAGCTCCCTGCCTTTTCCTTTGTCATTTTCTATTCACAGTAGCAACATTTGCTGTTGCAGGTATTCCTAGGCCATTTGGTATCAAATACTTTGTATCTCAAGAACTTTTTTCTGAGAAGTGGCCACCTGTTTTAAGATGCTGCCTCAGTACAGGTGGTTTCTGAGGGACATGTTAAGAGGAGGTGCAGGCTTGTACACACTGTAGCATCTTCCCCAGAAAAAGTGAAGATACATCATAGCGTTTGTGAGGAAGGCAGAAAATGGGTGTGGAGAGAAGAGAAACAAGGAGCATGCTCTTGATTCTGGCAACAACCAGGCTTGCTTCAAAGGTGTCCTTTGAGAGCTCAGGTTGCACCCTGGTAAGGGGCAGATGAAGAAGGTGAGCTCTGAGCCTGTGTATGACCATTGCAGCCACAGCTTCTGTATAAGTGGGTTTTTTGTTCAAGCCAAGTGACATGCAAGCTATGGCAGAATGGTGTGGGACCACTTGATGAATACTTGCCCCCCCTCCTGGGCACATGTATACATACCTGGTGTACATATCTGTACATACAGATGCTGGTACAGACCTGTAAGCTGCTACGAGGGTGATAGTGGTACCCAAGCAAGGTATGTGGCACTCCTCTAAAAGTAGCCTTGCTGGCTTCAGTGACCTTGCTTTGCTAGGAAGATGAAGGTAGCTCTTAAGCTTTGGTGTCTTCATATGTAACAATTCTTTTTCCAGAAGAACTTTAGGCTAGTTATGCTTGGCATGTTTCAGCTATTGCTATTTCCAAATACATTCGACGTGGACCAAGTCAGAAATTTAATCCAAACAGGTTTTATTCATATAGAAAATATTTGCCTTCTACGTCAATTCAGAAGTAGACAACTTAAAATATTCAAACAAAAAAATGCTGAACACTGGCCTAAGTAGCTATTTCTTTTGCCATGTGATACCTTAAAAATGCTCTCTGATGTTTAATCTGGGTAAATTTTTCCATTTTGTTATATCTAGAGCTATAATTCTTACCAAACAAAATATTGCAAAAAATTATGTATTTGAAGATCATCCAGTAAGTACAAAACTGGCTAGGAGTGAAATACAAGAATTGTCATTGTTCTTTACCACAACAGTAACCATATAATTACAGATTTAATGCTGCAAAATAATTTGTATTCAGGTGCAACAACTAGTTTTCAAGGATATTATAGTACCAATTTTCTTTGAGTTCTCTGTTCATGGGAGCAGGTATATTGAACAATCTGACCTCCTTAAATTAAATTCAAATTATTATTTCAATGTGCAAACTCTTTCTCCTGTTTGTCTAACTTGCTGAGACACAGACTTAATTCTGATTAATTTGGCTGTATAAAACAGTGACTGCCTCTGCTGAACTAATTGAAGTTACTTTGGTGTAAAACAGATGGGAGCCCAGAATCACGTCTGCACTGATTGAGGGTACTTTACTAAATAATATGCAAAGTATTTCAGAAAAAAATATGTTGCTATCCTAAAAACAACATAACTCACAACTGCAGAATATTGTTTGACAGTATAACCACCTATTTTTTTAGCTTGAGTTAATATGAAAGGCTACTAAACAGATGCTTGGTCCCTGCTCCAGCTGTCATGGTTTGCTTGGGGAATCTAGGAATGAATCTCCCTATTTCAAGGAAATTCACTGGCAGTGTAAAGCCAAACTTATGAAATCTATACTCCAGCCTCTTTGCGTAAATCTTTCCAGCTCTGCTTGTAGGCTGAGACTATGAACATCAGTTTTTCAGAGTATGTGGATAAGAACAGACAAGGCAGCAGTATTTCAGGCACATGCTTCATAGCAGATCTGTCAGTTCCCCCACTGACTATGGAACATAAAGCTGACATCTGTCTTGTAGTCCCCTACATCTAGGTGAGCATCTTCTGCCCATGCAGTGCCACAGCCCGTCTTCTGGGCTGTGATTACTCATGGCAACTATAGCTGCCTCGTCTGATCTACTGACCTAAGATGCATAATATTACGATACAGGAGCACGGATGAAGTGTGTACTCCAGCTGCCAGCTCTCCACCTAACAGTGACCTTGCACAGAGGAGCTTTCTCTGACTGCAGTTTTGTATCTCTCCTTTTTTGTGACCTGTCATGAAACCGTATCATGATAGTTTGAGTAGTCTAAGCATTCATGTACCAAACTCAGACCAAAATGACTTTATTGAGACTAAGTATATCTGCTCCCTGCTGTTCTTTCCTGACCAATCACATGGGAGCCAGAAGTCTTTTGAAGTTAGTGGGAAACAGGGGAAGTCAAATTTTTTCAGCCACCCCATCTTTTGCTCTGGGAAGAGCTTCTCTGAAGCAATGTATGGCTGCTCAGCCAACACAGCATTATGCAGCTTTCTGCAGCAAACAATTAAGAAATTCTGCCCCAGTTTTACTCAGCATAACTCTCGCTTCACTTAGCTCTGCAATAGCCCATAGCAGTCCTAGTGGCTGTGTGACCTCTTAATCTGCAGACCAAACTCCATCTGTAGGTGCTCTATTTTTTGCATGTGAAATCAGAGTAAATGGAAGAAGGTAGTTTAGAAGTAGACCACAGCGTATTTTGCTCCGGAAAAATAAAGTTTAGCCCTGCAGTAATAATCTATTCGTTTTCTTCCTCTGGATCTGAGGGAAAGTTGCTCCAAGTCATACTCTGATCAAATTTCTTTTAACCTGATATTTTTGAAGGCAACTCATTGTTACCTTCTCCTAGATATAAAAAAGATACAATCCTGTGCTAACAGCTAAGACATGTAGAAAAAAACATTTTTAGAAGGGGAATATTTTCTCAAGAGACTTTAAAAAATAAGCACCATATAACTCCAAAGAAAATGAATGGGGATTCATATTGCCTACCTTTAAACATGTACAACACAGATGCCTACATCCAAGCTAGTCATCTACAGTCTCTTTAAGGGGACTTTAGAAGAGAAGCCATCCCTCTAGAGATGGTTCATGGTTAAATTTGTGACACTTATATTTGGTTTGAGGCATCATCTACAGAGACTGCTGAAGCAGTGATACCAGTTTGAGCAGTGCATTGTCTGGGCTTTGGTAAATGATATTCACAGAAAAATTGAAAGATGCTTTAATAATGTGAGCATGACAGGCTTCCATGCTGATATGTGTAAATAAGGCAATTCTGCACAGACTTCCACAATAATGAGTCATCACGGAAGTTGTTTGTTGAGGTGCCAGAGCACCTGTTTGTCCCTATTTTAAAATTACTCCTTTGGAAAGAATTTAAACCATAAGTAAAAAAGAACGGTTGAAATATTTCCCATTAAGACTGAACATTTGAAGAGAGCTTGAGGGCTTTTCCTTTCTTTCCTGCAGTAGTGGAAGAGTTTCAGCCCATTGACTGCTCAGATGAAGAGGTAACAGCCAGCAGGTAGAAATGCCAGCGAGGATCTCCTCTATGGTTGAGTGTTGTCATACCAATGTCAGATGTTTTTCACAATAACATCCATGTTGGTGCAGCTTGTATTTCCTGATTTTTAGTAGGAAGTAACTTTAGTGTATTTGTTAAAATCCTATTGATTTTGAAACCATGTTAAAAGATGTGTGTAGGTATACATTACTAGCAAATATTTACTACCATTCTGCTTTAAAGCTGTGCACTAGGCAAGCTTCTACTAACAACAGAAGGTCTGCTTCTACTGTGCTGAATACCCTTGTCTTTACTGACAGGTAAGAGAAGTGAGTGCCTTCTGGAGTCACTGCAGTGTTTCAAAACCTGTTTACATTACACATTTAGATGCTCTATATGATCCCAGTTTGCTGCATTGGTCAAACCTGTAACTCTGCTGAGTAAAACCCCATTCTCTCAGCAGTCTCACTAGTCAATGCCTCAAAAGGGAGGCTTTTTATGTAACAGAATAAGAGACGGCTGCAAACACCTCAGTCTTGGCCAAGTTTCACATGAAAATCATGCTGTAAATTCATGTAGGTGAATGAACTTCTGGACTTAGGTTCTGAGCCAAAATCCATAAACACTGTACTTTATAATGTGATTCACTAAACTGGAGTGTCTGCACAATCTCAGAGTGGATGTCAGGAACTGCCCCTGCAAATTCTGCTTACACTTTTGAAGAACCTGTGGAAGCTTGAACAATTAATTTCCATTCTTCTAGTTCAACCCACCTGCTACCTCTTCTTCCCCCAAAAGGCTAAACCCAGTTCCCCATTGTTCCACAGCTTGGGTTCTTTCCATATAAGTTTGAACCTTGAGTTATCTTAAGGGCATCACCAACAATTAGAATTTCCTTAACAGCCCAAGGAGGAAAAAAGCTAATATACTCTTGGCAGTGAAAACACACTAGGAGTGTCACTTTAAAAAGTCCTCATTAATGAACAGGAAAAACCCTTCAGAGCGAAAGTCTGTTGAGGATATAATTTTGCTCTGTGTGTATAAACAGGGCTGTTATGAAGATGAGATTTACACCAGTTTTGGGAATGAGACACAGAACAATCTTATATTTCTGTGTTGCCAGAAATCCTATTTAAAATGGTGGGTCTTTGATGGGATGCTGGTGATACTCTTCAGCTTCATTCAAAAGGTAAACTACCGTGATGAAAAACAGCCCAGGCCTTACATGCAGGGTTTTCTTCCTGCATTTACAAAATTATTTGATTTTTGTCAAAAAAAAATAAAACAAAGATAAAGAAAAGAAATATACTGCCAGAGACTAAATCATTGTAATGATTTCTTGTGACTTCAGAAATATTATGATGAATCTCTCTATGAGAATTGATTTTCTTTTCAGCAATAATTAAGGAAGCATAATTCTGGTATTTAGATGAAATACCGAGCCTTGTGAACGTAGGCTGTGTTTATGTTGCAGTAATCAAGACGTGTGTATTAACTTGTGGGAATGAGGACAATGACTGTGCATTTTCTTACACAGGAGGCAGTAATTTCTGTGACTAATGAAATAGCCTGTGATTCAAGCGATTATAGTGTATTTCTCCCAGTTTTACTGTGTAACTTCTGAAAGTTATGCCGCTTTTCTGGGTGCCCATTTCTTCTTATTCAGGGCTGGCATGTTCTTTTCTCAATTTGTTTATTACAATCTATTACAAGGAACCCTGCATAGCTGTGATATGGACTTTCTGAAGCTGTTTGTAGGATGTAGTATCCAGATCTGGATTACTGAAATACCATAAAAGGCTCCTCTTTTTTTTTTTTTTTTCAAAGTCACATCTGAGTTTCCTCTCTGTAGGTGTCAAACTTTGTCTTTTACTTTGCTATCAATTAGGTGTGCATTGTACAGAAGAGAGACACCAAGAAAATGTATGCAATGAAATATATGAATAAACAGAAGTGTATTGAGAGAGATGAAGTTCGAAATGTTTTTCGGGAGCTACAGATAATGCAAGGCCTGGAGCATCCCTTCCTAGTCAATCTATGGTAAGCCAACCTCTAAAATTCTATTATGGATCTCTTGTTTTCTTCTTTTTGCTGAATCCATTCAGGATATGAAAGGGTGGAAAGCTGGAGTATGAAAAAGTTTTGCTGACCTCTTTTTTTTTTAAGGTATTTAGGTTTTTCAGATGGTTTTATTTTTCGTGAATATTTTAAATATGTCCTTTTGCATTGGAATATTTAAACATCACATTCACCTTATCATTTCTGGTTTGGTTTCTCTCCAGATTGTTACAGCAGTGTATGGAAATGTGTTGTTCTGTCCAGCTTCATGATTTATTTTTGACAATACCTGGACTAAATAACTGTTATAAGGCTGTGGAATATCAAGACAAATCATTCAAATAAAACTTTTAATTGATTCTCAAAAATCAATTACTCTTAAAAAAATAGCTGGCATAGAACAACAGAAAAACATCTTTTTGTCACCCGGAATTTCTCTTATCTTCCCTGTGCTAGCCACTGAATGCCTCAGTCACATATGAATGTGAGAAAATGTTGGTCAAGTAAAGAATAGCTTCAATTACACCCTCAAATTAAAATATTTGCAGGATTTTATGTAGTGATAGTAGTAATGGGATGTAAACTTATCTTCCCTTATCTGAAAATGACCTATATAATTAAAAAAAAAGGAGACATAAACCATTACGATACAGAAAATATTAATTTCATTAATAACTTGATTGGTTGCAGATGGTCACAGTGCAAACAGATCTTCTGTTTTGTGAGTTTTAGCAGTCTTACTAGAGGTCAGTGCCTAACCTGAAGTCTTTTGCCCATCCTTTAGCTCACTCTTGACCTGTACAGGTGAAAAATTTCTTGCTGTCAGCTTAGCACCTTTTTATTTATGTATATTATTTAAAATATGTTCTGTCTTGAGTGAACACAGCTTTAGTATAACTGCATTCACTTATACCAGCAAAGCATTTGATCCCAAAATTTGTTCAAAAAGGACCTAATATATATGTGTCTCAAGTGCTCTACACTCGACATGAATGATCATATTCGAGCTAACCTAATATCCTCTTGGGGGCTTGGAGAATAATATATAAACATTGTGACTGTAATATAAAACTTTCCCAGTATATTTTCCAAGGTTACAGCAACCTGTACTATGCAGATTTCTTCACCAAAGATGTGGTATCTCTGTGCTTAAGAGCCTGTGGATTTTTCTTTCATGCATTTGTCTAATCTCTTTTGAACTCACACAAACTTTTGTTCTTTATCAAGATGTGGCAAAGATTTCCACTGTGTAACTAGACACTGTGCAGAAACAGTCATAGATTAATGTGGTCTACAAGATATTTCAGTAAACATAACAGTGGTGAGGGATTAAAGATCAAATATTTATTGTGAAACAAAAAGTGTACTAGTTTCCAATTACTGAATTATAATCAGCTAATAAATATTCTTTCTTATTTTCTTTTTTCTTGCCAAAGATTAAACCTGAAATAAGCAATACCTTAGAATGTGTTGGGTATGATGATGATTTTTATTGTAAATAATTAATTTATTCTTCTCATGCTTCTGAGATACTGTCACAAGACTCAAATGTTATAGTATATGTGTATATGAGAAATGTAGAAAATTAAAGAGAAACTTAGTACTCTAGAATTAACAAAACTTTTCAGGCAAAAAATCATACTATTCAAGATGCTCCAGTGCACTAACAATGTTCTACATTCAACGTCTCTAGCAGTAGTTATAGTTGACCAGTCTATCTGGGTTGATTATTAGGTAGAATGACAAGAATTTCCTTTGAAAGGAAGGCGCAGAGGGGGGCTGCCCACCCATGAAATCAGGTAATAAATGACAAGTCACCTCCCATGGATGTGGCCTGGAATTTATCACTTGCATTAATGCTTGTGACACAGCTCAGTGGCCAACAGTCCTGTCTCCGTGTCACTAAGGTTAATTTTCAGGTCAATGGTACGAGACAGAAGAACATAGAATAGTCTGAAGTCTTACATCCAGGTCTAAAATCAGTGCCCACATTTAGGGTTAGTCTTGTGAAGATATGCAATTTCCTTGTGCAACCATTCAGCCCTTGCTGCCTTAGCATCTCAGTGCTTCACAGCCTGAAATGCCCACATAAACAGCATAGTTTGGTTCTCCTTAGAGTCAAAACATGAACCTGTGAAGGTACAGGTAAGCTAGTAGGTGAAACGGCATTCAGGAACATTCAAGGTGCTGCCTGATGCAGCTGGATTGACCCTTGGCATGCTCCTGTCCCATGTCAGTGAGCCCCTTTTCAAATGGCTCCTGGGATAATTCCAGGCTCACAGTGTCCCGCAGACCTATAATGGTGTGGCCAGCACCCTGCAGCAGCAAGGACTTCCTAGCAGAGGCATGAGCTGCTCCCTGCCAGCTGGCCTGAGTGTGTGGAAATGTGTCCCAGCATGTTTCATCTACTATGATAACCAGAATAACTAAATGAGAGTAGGAGATCCTACTCATTCTTTGTACCAGGACCATAATATGTTTCTATAATTAGCCTTGCACAATCCTAAATTAATTTAAAATAGCTTCTGATATATTTATGGAGTATCTACACTTGCAAACGGCAGTAACATGTTCCAGACCTCAACTCTATCTCAACTTTTGACTGAATTTCAAGATATTGAAATGTGTGAAGATACACTGTCTTCAGATAATAACTTCTGTTACGGAACTGCAGCAAGGACAAAAAAACCCCCACAAATAATAGTCACATCTGTTCTATTAACACTAAGCTATATGAAGCTCTTGAAGATATTAATTGTATATTATTTCTTTAATAATTGAAACTATATTTTCTTTATTCATTTGCTATCATGAAGAAAGGCACACAGCAAATAGAAATGGAATATACCTTAAACATATTTGATGTGTTCCCAGCAATAATCTCCTAAAATAACAGCATTTTCATTGATTGTTGGTAAAATAGCAGCCTGTTTAATGTATTTTTACTTGCAGTTTAGATGCAATAATAATTTGCATCAAATATATTTACAGTGTAGTTATAACTTACATCAGATGATTAGCAGGAATCCATGAGATTTCTTCTTGAGTCAGTTCCTGGCATACTAATGGAAGGAAACTGTTGAAAGTGCATTTATTGTATAGTAATTGTAGCTAGATTTATGTTTCATTTTTTGGAGTTCATTTTTCATTTTTCTGTTCATTTTGTTAATTGCATTGTAAATATACAAATGTGTTGTAACAGGAACTACTAACTCTATCTTATTTCACAAACTGGAATATTAATTTAACAAGGAATAGTTACATCATGGTGTATGGGCAATTACACAGCTACAGCTCATGTAAATGTTGAGTTTCTTTTGACCAGGCTGTTTTGGACTAGTCTGTTTTTCTAGACTCTATCACACTCTCTAAGGGTGCATGTCAGTTTTCAGAAATCCTGCCTAAGGTAAGATTTTGGTGACTAAGGCTCATAAATTTCATCAGCCTTTAAGTTTAATTGACATTTCTCTACTTAGTCAGGGTATCCAACTTTGAGTTCCTGAGAATATTCACAAGTAATCATTTGGAGAAGGTAAGTACCAGTATGCCATCAAGAGCTCTGCTGCAGCCCCCACATCAGTAGACAGGCACTGATGTTCTGTTCACTTAACTAAAAAAATGCTAACCCTCCTAGAGAATGTCAGGAATTCAGTTACAACAGGACTCAGATTAAGAGGAGTAGTGGTGAACGTTTTTTTACGTTAGATATTGTCATTGGATAAAAACTGAAAACAGACTTTGGGTGGGGAACTGTAGTAAAGTGTGTTTGCACATAGACTGTGTGGGCTTATAGTGAATAGTCTGTGGAAAATTGGAGATGTGACTGCCCATACTAAGGGGATTCTAGACTCATGTCTCCTTCTTTCTAGATTAGTTGACTACTTGTCTGTTATGCAAGATGTGATGATAGTAAAATAGCTATTTTGATATAAATAAATCTGCTTTATTTGCCCCTTGCAATCTCAGTGGAAAGTAATTAGCCAGCTGGGCCAGTCTGGATGACACTTCAAAAATCTTCAGGAAAACCTACATTTCTCCACTGATTTGAAAAGGAAATTAAGTATTTATTTTGGTTGCACTGTCCCTTCCTTCCCCTTGATTCCTCCCTCCCCTAATCCCCATTTATAAGAAGCAAGACAGGTAGGTAGCCTGGATCAGATCTGCTGTTCTTTTGTCTGGAAGGGATATACATGATAATAAAATGACGGAATTTTATTATCAAAATACTTGACTTTTTTCCTAAGTATCATTTTCTGTAAGAAGTTCAGTGTCATGAATTTTTTTTGTTTTTTTGCTTGCTTTTGAATGAATTGAGATGAAATCTTACTTCTTTCAATTCAAAATGTCAAATCCTAAATCCATCTTGAAAAGCATATTGGGAGGAAATTCCACTCATGACAACCTTTTCATGAGTTTGTGGGACTGTCCCTTACCAGAACTGCAGATTTTCAAATGATAATCATCTCGATCTTCAAGATATATAATAAAATTGATATAGTAGTAAATGTCCCAACAATTCCTTGAACCAAAGGGAATAATAACCAAGCACATTAATCTTTCTTTGAGGAATTACATCAAATAGAAAAGTTAGCAACTGAAGATACAAACATGAAGACTGGAAAGACAGTTAGTTATACATTATAACTGCACAAAGAAGTAATGAGATATGGGAAATCAATCTGTCATCAGTTTAATTATTGTGGAAAGAAAAGGAAGAGGAAAGAATGTAAACCTTCTGTACCGGGTAATTCTGCTGGCATCCATCAGTAACCCCAGCATACACAAGAATACAGAACATCTAATATAAAATAAGGGTAGCATCTCAACTCCAAAAGATCTATATTAAAAAGCTTTTTGAGGCTCATGCATCTTCTCTGAGCTTTATTAAATTTAGCTTCACAATCTCAACTTATAAATCATATTATTTGAAGTATGAACTGTCTTTCATAACATCTGACACTGAAAAGAATCATTCTTCTGTA